TAATAACTGAGTACTAGTACTGACCTAGACACGGCGCTAATTGCTTTGCATGCATTTTCCCATGGAATCTTCCAAACAGCCCTAAAAGGTGGGTGCTATGATTTTCCCTGCTTCCCACAGGAGGGACTGAGTTCAGGACTGTGTGCCTGATGTGGGCTAACTCAGCTGGTTAGGTTGGGGGAGCTGGAATTTGAACCCGAGTCTTAGTCCAGAGCTTATACTACTCGTCTTCCTTTGGTTTTACTATGGAGAGCTTCCCGGGCCAACAGGCCCCATGTCCTCCCCTCGCCTGCCCATCCCTCCGCCTGCTTCCCTCCCAACTGCAGCTCCTCTTATCGCCCATTGTTTATTGTACCATCTAAACAATAGCTAATGAGTCTGTATTCCACGGTGGGGAGAGCCAGGGCTGGTTTTATTCCCCGAAACAGAGCCGAGGCTGTGACACGAGAAGGTTAAGTGGCTGGGCTGAGGTCACAGAGCCAGCCTGCAGTGAGTCCTGGGTCCCCCCCACTCGGGTTCTTGGGTTGACCCCACGGCCCTTTGACATCAGAGTTTAATTAAGAGAGTTATTCTCAAACCATCCCCCCAACCCCCAGTCTCTGATTTTCCATTTTATTACTGCTTGGTGGTGAGGGACACCGGAGCCCCAGCATCTCTCTTGCTCTGTGCTTTTCAATGGCCTGACTTTATCAGAGAAACCACTGCCTTCCAGTTAAGCCTTCCCAGTCTGTTTCTGTGTCAGAGACTGTTGCCTGTTCTCAGAGAAAAACAACCACAAACTCAGACAGGTTGTTAATCGAGGAGTTTCTCTCTCTCTCTCTTTTTTTAATCTTACACTTAGAACCGGTAAATTAACATCTGTGAGTCATCAGCTCGCTCTGGATTAGCCGTTAGTGGTCTGCGTGTTTTTGTACTTAGCTCTAATAAAGCGCATGTTAGCTCGAAACTCAGAGATCCAGCTCAGGTTTGTGGAAGGGCAAGATTCAGGGAAATAGACGACTTATTTTAGCACGCTTCTGGAGAGGGGAGTCGGTCTGCCATGTTTAAGATTAGGTGTGTTTTAATATTTCTTTTTGTTAAATTTGGGGTGGAGTTGAAGGAGGAGTGTAACTGACAACGTTTTTTTTTTTCCCCTTTTTACATACTTTGTTTTTTTTTGAAGAAATTCATTTAAAAATGTGACTATTTCTTTTCTTTCTTTTCTTTTTTCTTTCTTTCTTTTCTTCTTCTTCTTTTTTTTTTTTTTTTTTTTTTTTTTTTTTTTTTTTTGGTACAATAATGTCTGCTTCCACACCCTTGTCCCTCAGCTCCTGCAGCCTTTTTTGATCTTACTGCTATAACGTTCCTGGCTTAAGCAGCTGCAGCCCTTGCTGGATGTAATTCCCTAAGTCTAAGGAATGTTTAAAAATATACTTCTGTTTTCTCCCAAGTGCGGGAGCAACAGAATGCCACAGGACAAGCAAAAGCCAAAAAGCATGTCCTCGGTTGATTTGTCTTGAATGCCTTAACAATCAGATACCATCTAGGAACAACTAGCCCAGCTGATCTCGTTCGTTCGGCTCTTGTTCGGGAGCTGAGGCATAAATGGCCTGGAGGGACATGGGTATGGGGAACAGATGCCTTCCCCTGCCCCGTGGGAGAACGGGCAGACCTGGGTGCAGAGTCACTGTCGTTTCTCAAGTTCATCTTCACAGCCATAACATACCAAAGTCACTCAGTCTTTGAATTAGAGAGAGTTCATGGCAAGCTGATGCCCACAGGACCAGGAAGTTGATAATTCATCATTCAACACATATTTATGGAGCATCTGCGGTGTGTCAGGCTCTGGGCCAGGCATTGTCTTTAAGGACATGGCAAGACAGAAATGGCATCTAAAGTTCATAAGGAACATTTAGAAAAATCTACTTGTGTCCTAAAAAGAATAACGTTTTTGCCCAGCTGGTGTGGCTCAGTAATTGAGGCTGGTCCTACGAATCAGGAGGTCATGGTTCCATTCTCAGTCAGAGCATACACCTGAGGGAAGGGCTCCATCCCCACTAGGGGGCGTGCAGGAAGCAGCCTGTCAATGATTCTCTCTCATCATTGATGTTTTGCTCTCTCTCTCCCTCTCCCTTCCTCTCTGAAATCAATAAAAACATATTTTAAAAAAAGAAGAAAATTTTCATTAATCAAATTTGATTAGGTTAATCACATGGATACTTGCAATATTTTAACTTTTCTATACTAGGGCTCTTTTTTGTCAACTAGACAAAAATATTTTCAACTAGAGAGTTAGATGCTTAACTTCTGATAACACCAATATGATATTTATGACCGACTTAGAGAGAGGTAACTTTTTGGGGGGGTCTGTGGTGACTCTTGGCTATCTCCCCAACCTAACCATCTTCCCAACCCCATTCCTTGTCTGGGACCCTCTGGCTTATGGCCTGGCTATATTAGAAAAGGGTGAGGACACGTTGAGTTGAAGAACTGAAGGACTAAATCTCCTCACTGCTGGAGTGGAAAGTGTTTACAGCTGAATCAGGGAGGACTCTTAGCGAAGAGGGGATGGGTGGTATTAGAATCAGTGTTTGCAGTGGTCGGCAAACTCATTAGCCAACAGAGCCAAATATCAACAGGACAACGATTGAAATTTCTTCGGACAGCCACATTTTTTAAAACTTAAACTTCTTCTAAGGCCAATTCTTCAAAACAGACTCGCTCGGGCCGTGGTCTTTTGTGGAAGAGCCACATGTGGCTCGCGAGCCACAGTTTGCCGACCACTAGGCTAGCCTGAAGAAGAAAGCTAAGGACCCCACTGGGGAAGAGAGAAAGGACTTGTTCAGAGGAAGCTGCTTTTGAAAATACAGAAGTACTCATACTAAAATTTGTTTTGTTAAAACAAAACCCAACATTTTCTTAAGATAACATCAATGAGAGAAAATTCCTCAAAGCAACACTTGATTTGCTCCGTTTCTTCCGCTAATGCATTCACAGTGGGCAAGGCAGGGCTGGTTTCCGATCCTTTTCTGTGGGGCTCATCTGGAAGTGTGAATACACAATTCATTCATCAGCTGCTTCCCGGCTTTTCCCCAGGATCAGAACTGCCTGTTCTTGTCATCTGGGGGCTGGCATTGTTTGCCTGTACCTTTAGGAAACACAGCTGGAGGACAACAATCCTTCACAAATTGGGATGATTCCATACACATATTTTCCCCCTGGTTGCTGAAGGAGGGGCATGATTCTTTCAGTTTGAACCGGAAGTTCACAATTTATTTTTCTCTTCCTAGTTCCTTCCCCCATTCGCTGTGGAAGGCTTTAAGGAGACGAACCTGGGGTTAGAGGAAAGGAAGCAGGTGTGTTAAAACTTACCGGAGGCAGAGGTTAAAACAGCGACAGGCAAAGTTGCGGGGGTGGGGTTCAATGTATGCTTAGAAATCAGGCAACAGCACTTAGGTAAAATAACTTTTCTCCAACGGTGCTCAGAAAAATTTATATTTCATCTTTTAGTGACTCAAAGAGAGATCTGAATGTCTGGCCTTATCTGTCTCTATATAGGAGTTAGGTGTGGGTACCTCTAAATCTTCTGGTTGTTAAGACCAGCGATCTCCATGTATGATAACCAATGTATCAGGGGCAAATCATTAAATATTTGGGATCACGTTGGGGTGTTCGAAGTGTCTGTCTTCCCAAGTGGATGATGTCACGGACGATGGCTCCAGAAATCCACAGCCACAGAGATGCTCAGTGGCCTCTTTGGTGGTGGTAGCTGAGTGGGGGTTGTCAGTTGCATTTCGCAGAGGAGAGCCTGTGAAAGGGACCATGCGGGGGACACAGGGACAGAACAGTCATTCCCCTTCAGCGTCAGCGCAGCTCTAAGCAAAACGAAGCTTATGGAAGGAAGCCCAGGCCTGATTCTAGTTTTTGGGGGGCCCTTTTCTGGACTCTCCCAACAAAACAGCAGCACCTGAGCCTCTGTGTTGGGGTGCCCAGTAGGCTGCCTTGGGCTGGAGGCTTATATCAAGGGCAGGTGGGGGTCTTTTCTTGATTGCACTGGTGGGTTCTGAAAAAACCTAAAACCAGTCCTGCTGCCTGGCTCAGGAAACCGTGGGAGTCCGCTATTCCTACAGCCCCTGCGGGGACACCGGCTCGCGGGGCTCCTGCGCCTGCTCACACGCACGCCCTCCCTCCGCCCGCATGCCTCACGTCCTGTGTGTGTCAGTCTTTGTGAATGAATGATTTGCACACGCACTTTCAAAACTATGCCGGAGCGGGTGACCAAGCCCTCAAGAATGCGTGGAGAATCAGGGGGGACTTTCCCGAAGGTCGGGGAGACTCTGCACGCAGCCTGGGCCCCGCAGCCCCGCGCATCCGTGCCCAGGCGCCCCCGCCCCCTGGCTCTGCCAGAGGCGCACCCAACTCCACGCCCACTCCTCCCGGCCTGACCCGGGGTCCGGGGTGCGGGGCGGGGCGCCGGCTGCCGGGAGCCCCGCCCACCTCCCTTTCACTTTGGGCGGCCGCTCGCGATTGGCTGCGGGGCCCGGCCCGGCCCCGCCCCGCCCCGCGCCCCGCCCGCGCTCCCCCCCCGCGGAGGTCCAGGGGGATGCGGTGGGCGCCCGGCTCGGCGCGGAGAGAAACGCCCTAAAGAGGAGGGGAGAGTGCGCGCGGGAGGAGGACCAGCGAGCGGCTCCGGGGAGGAGCGGCAGCGAGGAGCGGAGAAGCCGAGGCGGCCGCCGGCCGAGCGGAGGGAGCGGGCGTAGAGGGAGTGGCGCGGACGGGCGATCCCGGGACCCGAGCGCGCGACTTGCCCCGCAAAGTGCCAACTTCGCCGGGAGTGCCGGGCGCGCACCTCTTGGGCGCAGGGGTGGGGGAAGTCACGGGAATTTGAGACTCGAGGGAAGAACACCGGATTGCTCCCGTGTCCCCTTTTCCCCCGTGACGTTAAAAAAAAAAAAGCAACAACAACCAGAATCACAGCAAACTTGCTAGCACCCTGTCTGCCGCCCTTCGCGCCTTGCACCATGAAGGCGGCCGTGGATCTCAAGCCGACCCTCACCATCATCAAGACGGAGAAAGTGGACCTGGAGCTGTTCCCTTCCCCGGGTGAGTGAGTGAGCGGCGACTGCCCAGAGGCGCGCACTGCCCAGCTGGGGAGCGGTGGGGGGGGTCCGCGCCTCTCCTCCACTTCTTCCCCCCAGGCGCCCCCCAAATGTCCTTGCAGGCTGTGCATTTGTGCCTGAGCGGGGAGCGGGCGATGCCTGTGGCAGCTGAAGGAGGCAGGAGAGAGTACTGTTGGTGGCCTGGGACCCAGATTTGGGGGTGGTATTTATTTTCACAGCTGTGTTTTTTTGTGGAGAGTGGGAAAAAGCTTATAGAGTGTCCAGTACCCCCCATTCCCGCTTCTGTATTTTTTTTTTTTCCAAATGAGCAAGAACCCTCTAGTTTTTTGTGTTTTTTTTTTCCTCCCTTCACGTTTGGAGAATGGACACCCACAGAGGACATCATGCCCCGCCTCTGCATCCCCCAGAAATGGACCTGGATGAGGGGGTCCTGGGCAGTCAGAGGGGAAAGGTGTCTAACTGGCTGGCCCTCCAGGGCCGGTTCAGATGTCTTGCTCCCCTGTCACCGGCCCCTTAGCTTCCTAGCCCCTCTTTTTTTCTGGCTAAAGGACAAGGAGGTGGGAGGAGAGTGGAAATGGGCATTTTCATTTCGGGAAACATGCTGATGCTTTTCATGGAGCTTACTCACTTTGGTCATTTTTTTCTCATCTGCCCTCTGGGACTACAGATGCCAACACCCCACTTTGGGTCTTCTGTTAAGTTAGTGGGTGGCGGTGGCCTTCTCCTCTTTGATTTGAAGGACTTTAAGCAGAAAAGGGTGGGAAAGAAATCTCATATGGCCTTAGGCAGTTTTTTTTTGTTTTGTTTTTTTTTTTTTTTTTTTTTTTTTTTGGTGCTGAGCAGTTTTGCGGAGTCTGACACTCCATTATTCCTGGAATAAATGCCGCTTAAGAAGCAAAAGATGATTGCTCCTAGGATAAGGCACCGCTAGCTCTCCTTTGAGATGTGTGATGCTGAAGGGGAAGTTAGAGAGATACCGGGAAAAGACGCTGCTTTCGGGAGAATCATGAATGGCAGTCAGTCCTGTGTGTGAGTGGGCATCAGCTTCTCCATTCGTTTAGCTGCTGCTCCCCATGGCTTCCCCTTCTTCGCCTCTGCCAGGAGAACTTGTCGTGCATTTTAACTCTTTCTGAATCTGCTTGCACCTTCAACACAAGCCAAGCCTTATGTTTTGTCACTTGGAGGGTCTTTCAGAGATATCAGTAAAGACAGGGCACGTCCTCTCTCAGCCCCAGTTTGGATCACTGAGAAGTAAGCAGAGAAGGTTCTAGCTTGTGTGTCCTCAGAAGGATGGCGGTGGATGGCGAGAGCAATGCTGAGATCCATTAGACGCGGAGACCTCTCAGGCATGGAGAACCACAATTTAAAACTCACCTCCCTGTGACAGTTGCCTTTGGGGGGGGTCCAAGGAAGCCAGAATACGCTTTGTTAGGCACAGCTGGTTCCAACCATAGAGGCGAGAAGCGAAAGGGTCGTGTCCTGCAGAGACATATGTGCAGCTAGTAGGTCTTTTCCTTCGAAGTGGCTTGTTGATATGAGTGTCCACAGATTGATTGGGGCGTGTGGGGAGTATGGTGTGGCTACGTCCGTTCACATGCCTACAGGGGAGCACAGGGGCTGGGAACAAACAAAAAAAGGCCCTGGCAACCCAAGTTTTAGATCACAGTAAACAGCTGGAGCTACTTTCAAGTAATTAAACGTTAGATTTTAGAGAGGTTAAGTATATTAGGCTGCTATGTGGGTTGTTGATAAAAACAAACCCTGGGTACATAACTTCCCTTCGTTTTCCCATCTGTAAAATGGGTAGAAGAAGGCCTAATGTTACAGTCACATCCTTTCAAATAAACGCCTTTATAGGCCCCTCTTTTTTTTTTTCTTTGAAAAATAAAAGGTTAACAAACCATGTAAGCAACCTTCAATAAAATAACATTTCAGCTGGTCCCAGGGGTTGGCCAGTTTTCTGCCATTCTTTGTCATGAAGCTTTATTTCTGGAACCATCCTTGGGGGAAATAAAGGGAGAAACTTGAAAGCACCTATGTAGATTATAATAATCAAGTTCCAGTGAGTTAAATCCCGGGCGTTTAGACACACGTGTGAACAGTATCCCCATTCCCCACAGCGGGGTGAGTGAAAGAGAGGCCCAGAGAAGGCGAGTCCCTCACCTGAGACTATCTAGTGAGCTCTGGGCCGAAGGACAATGAGTTCCTCCCTGCTTTTCACTTCAGTGTCCGCTGCCGCCTAGAGCAGTACTGAGAGCTAGCATTGCAAAGCTCAGCAGAGAACCTCCCGTGGCGGCTTCAACCTTGTGCAGGTGCAGGGATGGAAAGCATGCCGGCCAGGCCGCCCGCTTTGTTGTGGGAGGAGAAGACCCTGGCCGCGCGGGGCATTGCCTTGCCCACCAGACCGTACGAGACATGTGTTTAAAGTTTAACTTCTCGCAGCGTGGCTTTGTGTCCACAGCTGGGACTTCAGTATTTGCCAAGACGAGTCTCCGGGTTGTTTAGTTCCTTAGGTGTGGAGACAAACTCGTTTTGGGATCTTATCTGGTTTAAATAGTTAAACTAGGTCTCTTCCCCCACCCCACTCTGTCCCCCACTCCCCTGGGAGGGCTAGAGGCAGGGAGGCGGGGGGTTGGGGAGCAGGGAGGGACAGGAGGGCTGGATTGTTTGCCTGTGTCTGTGACTAGGACTTGATCAGGAACCTTTGTTCTGGATGGAGACTTCCCCAGCGTTTTTGACAGCGTTGAGGCCCGAATTGACATGTCTGTGCTTCGAAATGACATTGGCCTTGCATTTTCCTCCGGCGTGGGAAGGCAGAACCTGTTGATGACAATGTGCGATGGCAGCATTCTCAGATCTTTTCTTTTTAAAAAAAATATATATATATATATACTTTAGTGATTTTTTACAGAGAGGAAGAGAGAGGGATAGAGAGTAAGAAACATCGATGAGAGAGAAACATCGATCCACTGCCTCCTGCCCACCCCTTACTGGGGATGTGCCCGCAACCAAGGTACATGCCCCTGACCAGAATGGAACCTGGGACCTTTCAGTCCGCAGGCCGATGCTCTATCCACTGAGCCAAATCGGTTTTGATTCTCAGATCTTAAGTGGGCTAAAACAAACAAAGCGATTGAGTCCCCTCCCGGTGGGGACCTTGCTGGGGATGGGAGTGGAGGCTGGGTGCCAACCCAAATACATTCCCAAGCTGCTTCTGTTTTTGTCTCCTTTCCCCTCTACCTTCTTGGCGAGGGGAGTGTGATGCCCAGAGAAGAGCAAGAGTCCTAATTCTGGATGTGTGCCACTTTACAAGAGTAAAAGATTCTGCCTCCCTTGGGCCTGAGGAGAGGATGTCCATCCGTTGGGAACCTTAGAGATAGGAAGATGCTTTGTCCCTCTTCCCGTCTCTCTCACCAGTCTGTGTATCTCCATCAGTGTAGACAAGGAGGAGGCAGAGTTGCCAGGCTACCAGGATCACTTAGTCATTGTGCTTCAAGATGCCCCCCCCCCTGCCCAGGGACCACCTCATTAGTGACTAAGGACCCCAGCAGCTCAGAGCTGAGGCTCTGGAGACAACCTGTCTGAGTTGGAATCCCAGCTCTGCCCCTTCCTAGCTGTGTGACTTTGGGTAAATGGCTTAATCTCTCCTGCATCAATGAGTGTGGTCATTGTTCTACCTCATGGATGGACATGAAAATTGAACCTATGAATGTGTGCAACTTCTTACAACAGTGCCTGACCCATAATACATTCTCTTGAACAGTTAACTAGAAAACAAGTCAACAAAACAGTGACCTCAATTGGGGTAGAATTTTCAAGGGCCCGTGAAATGTTGGGGGCTGCCGCTCTATTCTGTACCTCTTTGGGTATGAGAAGAGTACAGTTAAAGGGACCGCCTTCTCCTGCTAAGTGGAGATCTCCAGAGAGCACACAAGGGGAATGGGTAACTTTCAGAAGATCACCAGGTCTCGCGTGTCAGAGCTAAAGGCACAGGGTCCGTTAGTTACTTTGGATGACAGGCTTTGTCTATGCTACCTCAGATCCAAACAGCCACCAAGACTAGAAGACCACCAGGACATTTGCAGGGCGGATGGAAAAGTAGGGTATTTCAGTTATGCAGGCTTGAGAAATGCATCGAGTCCAGCTATTATAAAGCATCTCTCATTTTATTTATTTATTTGGTTGGCAGAGCTTGCATTCCTGGCATTTTTGGTTGGTTTGTATTGCTGAGTTTTTTGTTGTTGTTGTTGTTATGTGTTTCTTTTTTTTTTTGGTCTGGGCAACTTTTTTTTTCTTTCTTAAAGAGACCAGACCACCCTGTAGGAGATCACCTCCCTCTAGGAGACAAACCAGCCCTGGTCAGCCTGCCAGAGCCAGCTTGCTCTGAGCTCCATCGGACTCTGTGCAAACCCAGACCTGGTCAGTGCAGGTCGGGGCTTTTCAACAAAGCCAGGCTCCCATTTCCGAGAGCACAGGTTAACTACAGAGGCTTAGGGGCAGCACTATTGGACGCCTCTCAAGTTTGCAGAAGGAATGACCCGGGGCTGTGGTGGCATTCCATGAGTTTGCGTTGAAGGGAGATTCTTGCATTCACCCCTATGGGGTCTTCCGATACAGGTGGATCCTACATCAGTACTTGCCGTGCTAACATACAATTGCTTTTTGACATTCTGGGCCGGGGGAGGTCTTATTTTATTTCTTTTTCTTGGGGAGGAGGAAAATAATATACAGAGAGGTGCATAACTCACCCAAGGCCACACTGTTAGAAAATTGCAACCTGATCAGCTGTTGCAGGCATTTTATGCCAAAAAATAAAAAACACCGTGTTATTCTCAGAAACTGTGGAAATTAGAAGAGGGCCCTCGCCGGTTTGGCTCAGTGGATAGAGTGGCAGCCTGCGGACTGAAGGGCCCGGGGTTCAATTCCAGCCAAGGGCACATGCGCTGGTTGCAGACTCCATCCCTGGTGTGGGGTATGCAGGAG